CACCCTCCCATTCCACCCCAGTGGACAGCCCAAGCAAAAGGCTATCATTATTTTAAACTTTTTTAGTGGCCTTTTCCTTCCCTCCTATCCTCCTCCCAAACCCCACCCGGGCTACCTTGTCAGTTCTCTCTCTCTTTTTATAATCAATTAATAAAGAATACATGATTTTTAAACGATAGTCACTTTATTTCCTTTGAAAGCAAGCTGTGATCGAAGGGGGAGGGTGGGTTGCTTACAGAGAATGAGTCAATAAAGTGGGTGGGTTTTCATCAAGGAGAAACAAACAGAACTTTCACACCGTAGCCTGGCCAGTCATGAAACTGGTTTTCAAAGCTTCTCTGATGCGCAGCGCTTCCTGGTGTGCTCTTCTAATCGCCCTGGTGTCTGGCTGTGCGTAATCAGCGGCCAGATGATTTGCCTCAGCCTCCCACCCCGCCATAAAGGTCTCCCCCTTACTTTCACAGAGATCGTGGAGCACACAGCAAGCAGCAATAACAATGGGAATATTGGTTTGGCTGAGGTCTGAGCCAGTGAATAACGTGCGCCAGCAACCCTTTAAACGCCCAAATGCATTCTACCACCATTCTGCACTTGCTCAGCCTGTAGTTGAACAGCTCCTGACTCCTGTCCAGGCTGCCCGTGTATGGCTTCATGAGCCATGGCATTAAGGGGTAGGCTGGGTCCCCAAGGATAACTATAGGCATTTCAACATCCCCAACGGTTATTTTCTGGTCTGGGAAGTAAATCCCTTGCTGCAGCCGTTTAAACAGATTAGTGTTCCTGAAGACGCGAGCGTCATGAACCCTTCCCGGCCAGCCCACGTTGATGTTGGTGAAATGTCCCTTGTGATCCACCAGTGCTTGCAGCACCATTGAAAAGTACTCCTTGCGGTTTATGTACTGGCTGCCCTGGTGCTCCGCTGCCAAGATAGGGATATGGGTTCCATCTATCGCCCCACCACAGTTAGGGAATCCTATTGCAGCAAAGCCATCCACTATGACCTGCACATTTCCCAGAGTCACTACCTTTGGTAGCAGCAGCTCAGTGATTGCTTTGGCTACTTGCATCACAGCAGCCCCCACAGTAGATTTGCCCACTCCAAATTGATTCCCGACTGACCGGTAGCTGTCTGGCATTGCAAGCTTCCACAGGGCTATCGCTACTCGCTTCTCAACTGTGAGGGCTGCTCTCATCTTGGTATTCTGGCACTTCAGGACAGGGGAAAGCAAGTCACAAAGTTCCATGAAAGTGCCCTTACGCATGCGAAAGTTTCACAGCCACTGGGAATCATCCCAGACCTGCAACACTATGCGGTCCCACCAGTCTGTGCTTGTTTCCCGGGCCTAGAATCGGTGTTCCACGGCTAGAACCTGCCCCATTAACAACATGATCTCCAAAGTGCCGGGGCCCGTGGTTTGAGAGAATTCTGTGTCCATGTCCATGTCCTCATCACTCTCGTCGCCGCGCTGCCGTCACCGCCTCCTCCTCACCTGGTTTTTCTGGTCCTGGTTCAGCATAAACTGCACGATAATGCGCGAGGTGTTTACAATGTTCATGACTGCTGTCTTGAGCTGAGCGGGTTCCATGCTTGCCGTGGTATGGCGTCTGCAGTGTTCAACCAGGAAAAAAGGTGCGAAATGGTTGTCTGCCGTTGCTTTCATGGAGGGAGAGGTGAGGCTGTACCCATAACCACCAGTGACAATGTTTTTTGCCCAATCAGGCATTGGGATCTCAACCCAGAATTCCAATGGGTGGGGGAGACTGCGGGAACTATGGGATAGCTATGGGATAGCTACGCACAGTGCAATGCTCCGGAAGTCGACGCTAGCCTCGGTACATGGACGCACACCGCCGAATTAATGTGCTTAGTGTGGCCGCATACACTCGATTTTATAAAATCGGTTACCAAAAATCAAATTCTGTAAATTTGGAGTAATCCCGTAGTGTAGACATACCCTTAGCTTGGCTAGTCCAACCCCTTTCTTCCTCTTGCCCAAACTTCTGGCTTGTCTTTCTCAGTCCTCCCCGTTTTTAAATCCGTTTTTTGTCATGTCTGTCACTTTGTCTTCTTTGCGAATTTTCCATTCTCCCAATGCCAGCCCCTTGCAGAGGGAAGGGGAAATAAGTCATTTCCCTTAGGATGCAGTTACTCTTTAGCATAACTATTGTATGGTCAAAGCACATTCATAAAGTTCAGTACTCTACATTGTCCCCAATCTGGTGTGTACCTGCTACAGGTCGTGTCCAGGATGGTGGATAGCACATTTACATAGGCCATTCAGTGATACAGCAAGAAACCCAAAGAGAATTCTACCAGGTGATATTTCCAATGATACAAAGATCTGTACTATGAACTTCATGTAATTTTAAAAATAACTTTAAAGGACAGATTCCCCAGTATGGGCACCAAAGCCAGAGTGCACCAGCCAGTTATGGTGCATCACTAAAGTAATGCAAACAGGCAAAGCATATTGGTGAATCTGGCTCTTAATTTGCAATTGTCGTATTGGTTTAGAGTGCTGTGTGAGTTAGACTGGTGCTTTATAGATGGAGAGCCCACTCTGAGCCCCAATGTTGTTTAGGAGCTCATAACTACGTTTCTGCCACAGCTCTCCTGGCAATGTTGCCTCAGTGTGCAGGGGTGCTCAAGCTGCAATGTCATGAAGAACCTTTCAAGCACTGATGACCAGGCTAGTATACAGCCACAGGATCTTTAAAGAGAAGTGACATTTGGATCAGTTAAATTGTGAGCAAGAACTCTTGACATGTGTTCTATTTCCTGCATACCAGTCACTGCAACCAATAAAATTGTTGCATTCAAATTAGCTGTAGAGGAAAGATGGTGACTGGTTGAGTTACCTCTGATGTCAGAATGGCCCTACATAAAGAGTTACCCAAACTGTTGACCTGAGCCTGTCTGTAGCCTATATAATCATAATGATTAGATTCACCAATCTTTAATAATGTAGCATAATTGCAATTTAATTTCTCAAAATGTAGCTTATATATAAGATTTCAATTAATGTTAATTAGACAAAAAGTATGAGGTATTTGTGTCACTCCATTGTTAAGATAATTCAAGACAAAGAAAAGACATAGGATGATAAAATTCTTAAAGGATCCAGTTTTACCCTGTAATTTATGAACTAATTACCAGATTTACATGTACTCAGAAAACAAGTGCTGTAAGTCTGGAGAGGATATGCTGTATTTATCATACAACATAAAAAGGTTGAATCCATCCCTGCTTTAAATGCAAACCAGAAAAACCTTAACTATGGAATTGCAACCAGCACCTCCATAATAAACTATATTAAAATTACCTTATATTGTTAATCATAATACTAATACTTTTCACTTACATAGCACTTTTTATCCTTTACAATAGTGGGGGGGGGGTCAGTATCATTATTTCCATTTCACAGATGGGGAAACTGAGGCACACAGAGCCCAAGGTGGTCACTTATTTGGGATCACACACCAAGTCTATGTGAGAAATACAATCCAGGTCTCCTGACCTCCAGTTCAAACACTTAAATGCTAGAACCTCCCATTTTTTTTGTAGAGCTAGAGTGCTCTAAACTTGTAACTGCTTATTTTAAAAATGTATTTTACTCTTCTGTTTATGTTGCTTTACTTTTTCCAATTTGTTCAGCTCAGACAAGAAAGACTAGTCAGTTTTACTTCTTCAATGTCAGTTTAAGGTGGGGTTTTTTATGTGCAGTGTGTTGTGTCTGCCATACATATAGGAAAAATATGCATTTTCAGTCTAGATTATTTTTATTTTACATCAAGGAAAATAAAGAAAAATTATAAAGTGCCCAGGAAAGTGAAAGCAAAGTCTCTCTCTCTCACTTTGTAAGATACACTATCTTGAATCTCCTCAGCCCTGCTCCCAATAGACAAGCAGGTAATCTTTAATCTTAAGGATGCAATATGCAGAAAACAAAATCATAACTATAGACACCACAAATCATTTGTACAGTGCTGCACTTTCAGTAGCAAATACATTAATATTTATTTGTTAACAAAAAATTCTGTTCCACTGGAATTGAAAATTAAGTTATTTCTCAGAAATATCTGTTGCGGTGTTAGATTTGTACAGGTTTGTTCTTACATCGCCTATATTTGGCAGAATTTGGGGTATGGAGTGGGGAAAGTTTTGAGGCTGACAGATGGTCCAATGCCCCTGTCAGAGAGCAACGAAACTCACAGGGGGACGGAGAAAGGAAGGGACCCTGTAGGTCCAAACCGAACCGTGCGGAACAACGAGTCCCCAGACACACCTACGGGGTCATTAAAGCCTTGCTAAGCAGTGGGGCGTGTTGTGGGGGGGGGGGTGTCTGGGCTGGAGCACGAGCGACCCGAGGCAGACAAAGACCCTGGGTCTTGCGGGAAATAGTTCAGGGGATCGATGAGAGACAGAGTCGGGCACCCCCGGGAGCGAACCAGCCCCGGTACCGCTCGGGCACTGGGCACCAGCCCAAGGTCACACACTGGGCGGGGCGGGGCGGGGCTCCGGACGCAGAACCCAGGAGTCCGGGCCCGCAGACCCGCCTCTCAGTCACGAGCCCGCGGGCGGCGGCGGGGGTTGAGCGGGGGATGCCCGGGCTGGATTTCAGATGGGGGGAACCTCCCGGGACAAGGCGGCTCCGCTCCCACTTCCGGGTTCCCTCTCCTCGCGCATGCGCCACCCGCCAACCCTCACCCCGTCTCTCAGGCCGAGGTCCATCTTCCCGGGCCGTACCACCTTGTACATGTGGTGGGAGGGAGGCCTCTCTAGATACTTCTGTTGCTCCCGCTGCCCCTGAACCTTCTGAGGCCGGATGCGACTCGTTACTCCCGGCTATCGGCTCCCTTAGCAGTTACCGTCTCCTGGCCCTCGCCCCTGCTCTATTCCAACCTCCCCCACCGGAGGAGGATGGTACGCGCCACTCCCACCTGAGCCAGCGGCCGGGCGATACCATTCCGCGCACCACGGGGAGAGGAGCAGGGGCTATTGTTGGGTCAGGGGGTGCGTGCGGCTCGCGGCAACAGTAGGTTCGTCACAGCCGCCGCGGAGAGGGAGGGGCGCCGCCCGGAGCCCAGAGTCTCCCCAGGCCTCGCCGGGCGCGGCTGCTGCTCCCCTTCCGTCCCCTCCGCTACCGCCGCAGTGGTAGCGCCCGGCTCCAGCTGACCGGCCTGGAATCCCGGCTCCCAGCCCCGGACCCTCCGCTCCCAGCGACCCCCCGCCCCGGCGACGCGGCCCCGCCGGAGACTCGGCCCTGCCATGGGAGACGCCGGCAGCGAGCGCAGCAAGGCGCCCAGCCTGCCGCCCCGGTGCCCCTGCGGATTCTGGGGGTGAGTGCGGGCCGGGAGGGGTGAGGCCCGGAGGAGGCGGCCGGGCCGGGGGCTGGGCTACACCGTGGGGCTGGGCAGGAGCAGAGCCGGGCCTGGCGGCTAAGGCCAGGGACGGCGAGGCAGGTTGGGGCCGGGATTACTGGTCTCCCTCGGGCCTGTCACGAAGGCTGAGCCACCCCCCTTCCCCCATCCCAGTCTGGATTGTTTCAGGGCAGTGGCGTGTGGCCCCTGCTGTGCGGCGGGGGGGCTTCCCTGTCAGAGGGGCCCCTCCCCCAGGCATGTGACTGTATTTGCTGCATCACAGAGGGGGTGGCAGGCTCCTGACTTACAAGTACAAGTGGCTTAGTAGGGGTGGCGACAGCAGCTAAATCATCCCAAAATATCCCGTCTGTATTCTCGTTTCAAGATATTGAATAGCTCTGTGTAGTGGGGTCCCCATCTGTGTGTGTTTGTGGCTTGTATTAGTTATCACATTATTATTATTCAGTCATCCCCATGTGTTACTGCCTCCCCACTCCCCCCACAGCTTTGAGACCTTTGTGTGGCCTCCCCCATGGCCTTTAGAAATTGTAGAGAATTTCCTGAAGGGAGCACCTTCAATGCCCCTCTCTGCCCATCCCTCCAGATGTTCAATTTAATTGAAACTAACACACCTTCTTTTCTGAGCCCCCAGGTGGAATAATAGTGGCATCAGCAAAGCGGTAGACAGGCAACTTTCTTGAATTCTTTCAAGAATTTCAGCCTTTCATAGATATGGCTAGCATGTAACTTAGGTCCTTTTTCAGTCTGTCATGTTTTAGGTCTGTAAAGAGCCATATACAGCCATGTATATATGAATAGCAATAAAGAAGGTGTCCTGTTGCCACTTTATAAAACCTTCCCAGCAGGCCTCATGCTAGAGATGGTCCATGTCATCTGCTGGCTAATCCTGTTTTTTAGAGGGAAAAGTCATTCCTCTGTGCTGGAGGAAAAAAACATAACTGCCCATTTGATTCTTCTTTCACTCTCCAGGGCCATGCCTGGTAATGATGTTTCCATTATTGGTTTTTAGCAGATATATTGTGGCATATGGAATGTGCTGGCTGAGACATGGACAAAAAGTGTCTTTAATATGTGTGGTGAAGATGTAGATCCCTAAAGTTCTTATTTATGGAGTGTTCAAAGGATATGCAACTGGGTAGAGTTGTGGGAGTCCACCTGAGATTTATACCTATGACTGTACCTTCTTGGGATTTATATAATACGATTTAAGGTACTCTGGAGGAGTGGAAGGATGCATATTAAGAGTGATTTAGAGCTGTCACTATTCAATAGGCTACCTTTGATTTTATTGGAATGGCAGAATTCTAAATTAAATCCCATTTGTGAGTTATGATACAAGTCTGAACTTTGACAAATACGATGGTTCCGTTGGGAGTGAACTTTCAAGGCATATTGTAAATATACAGTAAATTGTTACTTTATTTTTGATTTACTAGGCCCCTGTATTTATGCCTCATGCTTTCTATGACATGACTAAAAAAGAGTTGCTACTATTTCCATTATGATGCGCCGGCTTCTGTGATCAGTGATGATGTACAAAGGCACTGAAGGAGTTATGACAACTTCAGCTCACAGCTCTTTTCATGCTGAACTTTGTATTGAGTTCAGTGTCCTATGTTTGTGACATCAGTGTATTGTAAAATCTGGTGCCCCAAATGATGAAATGAGGCTATGAAGAAAATGGCCCTTTAAAGATGCTGCCTATATAAAACACCAGTCACAATTGGGACTAATTTGCCCCCTTTTGAAGGAATGTTATTCCAGCAGTGATTCCTCCAAGGTAGGGCTGAAGTACATGGCTGTGGAACGGTATGAAAAAGTTCACCTTCTGTACCTGTAGTGTTGCTAAACAGGGTTTCAGTTTCACGTTCTGTCAATCTGACACCTTTCCAGAACACAAATATACTTTATCAGAGGGAAAAGAAAAGAAAAAGATTGTTTGTTTTATCAGAGGCTCAGACTTTTCCTCATTGAGTTATCAGAGGCCGACATTGTTAAGCGTCCTGTAGAGTGGCTGGCTTGTGTACATGTGTAGTTCTGATCTCTGAAGACACACGTGTCCTCATTTTCTTTGTCCTTGTTTACACTAGAAATGGTTTGCTGGTAGAGCTGTACTACTGTAGCTATGCTGGCAAGCCCTCCTAGTGGAAATGCACCAGCCTTGGGAGGAATCTTGATCCTTGTACTAGTGGACAGGCAGTAAGTACTGCACATCTCACTCTTTTCTCTCAGAAATCTCTGGCTGTTCAATGTTCCCTGTTCCCCACTAGTCTAATTATCAAGACTTCTCTCAAGGCAGCCCTTGATCCTGAATCACACTTGTGGTAGAACAATGTACACTAAGCCAATGGGCTAGTCTGCACTCCAGGAAGTTGGTCTTGGCTAAATATGAAAAGGTTGTAATTATTTTCATGTGGTGAAACATAGAAGTTCTGTGTAATGTTTAGTACTAGCTTTTGCCTAAAGTGAATGTTCTCTACAGTAATCCACAAACATTTGGCGTGGTAAGAAAAATGTGAAAAGGAGCATTACAAATAAAGTAGGCCTTTCATGTAAAAATACTTACAGTTGGTCCTAGCACTAAAATCTGTCTTTAGGTGAACTTTGATGTCAGGAGTTCAGGAAACACACATTTTAAAAAGTGATGTACAAGCGGGGAGGGAGGGAGGATTCCATATTTTGTTGTTGCTTTCTGATGCATAAAAGTCTGAAGAATTTAAAAAACTTTTGCTTGTTTTTATATTAGAAATTTAGGTCCTGTCTAGGCTGGAAGACTCTGTGGTGGTGTACTGGATGTTTACTAGAAAACTAGTAAAATGGTGATGATACAAAAGACTGCGAACTGAACAACCAAGGGGGAAGGGATTTTTTGTCAGACTATATGTAAAACTTTCTTTAAACATCTATTTAAGGTCAATGATTAACTTCATTTATAAATGTTAATCTTTGTTAAAGCTCACAGTAACAATCCCTGAAAGCTCCCAGAGGCCTTCTAGCAAGACCAGACTTGACATTCCTTTTTTCTAAGGGGGAAAAACAAAAAATACCTTTCAGTTATTCTTTATGCATCATTTAAAAAAAAAAAAAAAAAAAAAGGAACAATCCCTTTAAATCCTTTAGGTCAAATGGAGCATTGGGTTGAACATTACATTTTAATGAATCATTTCAGGTATCCAAACAGACAGCCTAAATCTGCAAACCTAGTCTATAATAATCTCTTAGAACTTCATTTACAAAAGAATTTATACTTCCAATATCTTCAAAATACCTTCACTATTCTTTCCTCCCATTATTATAGCATGTCATACGCTTTGTTGAGTTCAGGCAGTGTGAGCATTGCAACATACATTTGGGGTTTCAGTTGTACTGGACTTCTTACGTTCTTTCAATTGCTTTTTGGAATCGCAGACTACACGTTGCATTGGTTATTTTCTTTTAGAGCTGCAGATTTCAGAAACATATATCTTATGCCATATGTACTCCAGTCAAGCCATTTTTCTTGGTACCTAGAGCTGTCCTGCTCAAATTTAGGACCCAATCCTGTTCTGGATATCATGTGGGCAGATCCCCATTGACTTTGGAAGGGCTTTCTCTACACAAGCACAGGAATCCATTTGTGCAGAGCTCATTGCAGGACTGGGACCTTTGTGATTAAGTAGTCACATGCATGGGTTAATATTATAAGCTGAAATACCAGTTGGACTTCTAGGAGTTGATTGTGGGTAAGGGAGAGGTCAAAGAAATAACTTGACAACTTTATTTGTGTTCTAGTGAATCTTTTTATTTCCTCTAAAGAACATACCAACATTGAAGGTATTGTATGCAATGCCTTAGAACCAGAAAAGAAGGAAATATGTTAATAAGCATAAAACAAATGAATTCCATTCTTGAAATGGTGGCTGCTAGCAGGAAGTTGATTGAAAACACAGTATGATTAGTTTCATCCCATCTTATTTCTGGTAACTTATAAGGTACTGTACTCCGCCAAAGCTGATGGCAATACTGCTTTGAGAACAGGCCAGCAGGGGTTCTGTAGGATGTTACCACTTATCCTGCCTCTCACTGACACTGCCTGCATTCTATACATGACAACACATTCAACTCCAAGCTTTCTAGTGTCCTGGGAGAATCCAGAGCTTACTTCTGAATCTTCTCGTTGTTAGTACATTACCATGCTGCTGCCACATTCACCTGGCCCTTTTGATGATTGTCTAATATAGTATGAAGCAGTTGATCAGCAGAATATAAATTTCAGTTACATGATTAATTTCTGACTATGGATCACTGAAGCATTCCTTTTTTCTAATCAAATAAGTTGTTTTCTTTTATTTAAAAAAAGAAAATCCTTTGATTTTTAACAAAGCTCTCTCTAGCCAGTGTTTAACTTTGAGATTGAAGCTTTTTTTTCTCTTCTCTCTCCAAGGACCCTGGGTGATCTTTTTAAAAACCACCTCCTAATTTCAGGAGTCCACACCTGTCCCCATCCTTACCTAACTAAAGGTGCCTTTGTAAGCTTCATTTTGTTTTAACTGGTACCAGAACACCACATCCTTGCCGCATAAACCAGGCTTGAATAGACAGACCATAGTAGAAATATACACCTTTCTGTGAAAATGCTTTTCCACTGGGACGAAGATGGTGCAATGGATTAGTGGTGTCTTTCCTATCTGGGGCCTCAAGTTCTGAAGCAAGCCATTAGAGAATGAATTGTTGATTTGTTCTAGTTCACGTCAGAACTACCATACAGCTTGTTACAATTTGCGTTGACTGGAGTCTACAATAAAGACTGGACTAGAATGGCAGTGAATACTGTAGGTCGAAGTTGAGGTGCATTGGAGTAGCTGCGGGTGGATGGTGATGCTGTGGGTCAGAATTGAGGTGTATTGACACAGCTGTGGCAAGGAAGCCTACTTTAGGTCTAGCTCTAACCAAAACTGTTGTTTCCTCACACTAAATGG